AAAGTTAGAGATATTATGTATTTTATGTGTGTTTAATAGAAATATTTTTAATTTTATGCAAAATTTTATCGTAAAATTAGAAATTAAGTAAAACCAATCTAAATCAAGGTACAAATAATACACTTTTAACATACAACATTTAACAACAATCAGTTAATGACAATACATCCACAACTAAATCACATGAGCATTAAAAATTAAAAACAATAAACTATTGTTAAAACATACATCACTAAACCAAATCAAAAAAATCATCAACGATAAATAATAATGGTTACCAGCAAGAGTATTTCCGGAGGTTAGATCATTGTCAATACAATTTAGATGAAAAAGAGTGGATGATTGGAGTGGTTAAATCCAGTGGGTCTTCAGATTATGTCGTGTGTCGCTGAAAAATGTCTGTCAATTGTTGGAGTCTGCACAGAGAAATGAGAGACTGAGGAGGATGACAATGATTTCTGAGAAACTAAGAGAGGTGAGACGATTAATGGAGGAAAGAGAAAGAGTTTGGGCTGTGTGTCAGACAAAATGAGTAGCATGTGAGTGTAGTAAAATTGGGTGGGATTCAGGGGCGGAGCCACCCTTGGACCAGGGTGGGCACGTGCCCCCCTCAATTTTTTTTTTTTTGACATTAGATATATATTTTTTAAAATAAAATTTAGATATATTTAATTGTGCTCACCCTCAATTTTTTTTACAATAAATATATATTTTTTAAAATAAAATTTAGACATATTTAATTGTGCTCACCTTATTATTGTATTATTGTGATATCGATTAAGATAGACGATTACTTAAATAATAATTAATTTTTAAATAATATTATTGAAACTAATACATTATGATATTAATTCTAATAGTGAGCCCCTACATTTAATAACGTCTACTATCCATCCAATGGTCACAAACCATTGGGTTCCTACCAATTAAATTTTGAATTTTTTTTTGGTCAAGATATAAAATTAAATTTCGAATTAGATGCAATTACTATTATTTTTAAATTTTTGGACACAGACATGTCCGAATAATTTTTAGACATATCACATTTATTTTTCTAAATTTTAGAATTATTTTATTATTGTATAGAAATGAGCATCATAATGTAATAAATTATATGGTAATAAATGAAATACTGTTATTAACATTTTGTATATAGAAAAAAAGTATTTATTGATATCATTAATTTGTAATTCTTTTAAATAATAAATAATAATCAGATTTAATTGTAAAATGATAATAATTAGTCTCATACGAAGTTTTAATTAATTTATTTTTATTTTTTGTTTGTTCATTCCATGCAAATCGTTTTTTAACCTTCTATGTTTAATGAATTTTTACACATAATTATAATAAATATGAATTTATGAACTTCTATGGTCAATTGAAAAAAAAAATTAAAAATGCTATTTAGATTTAATTTGATGACATAATTCAATGCACCCATTTGATTGAAAGTAGACTTCATCTAATATTGAAATTTACAACTAAAATAACAGTTACATTGAATTAAGTCATTGATAACATTGATAAAAAAAATAATTAAAATTTATTAATGTGTCCACTCTAAAATATTTTTCTTGCTCTGCTCCTGGTGGGATTTTATTTTTGTGTGGAATGTGTTGTGAGTCATTGGATTAAATTTGATAAATTTAGATGAAATTTAAATCATTTAATTTAAAATGAATTCAATCTGAGTTGTTATTGTGTTTTTTCAAATTTAAGATAGAGATGTATGAGAGATAGGAGTGTAGAGTCTAACGATAAGAGACTTTTTCGTGGGCTGGATAAGAAGTTCAGGAGTAACTGTAGACTGTTAGATCAAAATTTTTGAGATGATCTGAATCGTCTTTTATGTTGGAATTACGTTATCCGTTGGATGTATTTATGTTTTGTTTCAAAACAATTTGAACCTCTCTTTGTCTTTTGGATTCAAACTTCGTTATACTTTATTATTTATATATATATATATAGCCATTGTAATTTAATTTCATTAAAATCCGAATGGAATAAATACAGATACATATATATATGCGCGCGCGTACACACATATATTGGTATACTCATGCAAATACGAAGATTAATAATGATTTAGAAAATAATTCCTAGATACTAGCAACGTGATTTATCTGCATGCACATGCACGAGTAAAACAGAAAATGCCTTTATCTTTTGAAGTTGCTCCTTCACTTTTTTGATAAGTTAATAGCTTGTAAAACCAGTAAAATATGATTATATTCAAGTGAAACTATGCAGTAACCCACAAGTGAAACAATGCAGTAAAGAAAATTTTATTTTGTAAGAAATTTAGTATAGAATAAATTATAAACGCCCTTTATATTTGAAAGAATGTTGTGTTTTCACTTTGATAATTATTGATGCTAATTCAGTGATTCATGTAGCAACTTAGTCACTCATATACAATGTGTGCTCTACCATTGTATAAGAAAATTATTTCACATATCCTATCTTTAAGTGAGATCCGCTATTTAAAAAGTGAACCCCCCCCTCACTCATATACAATGTGAGCTCTACCATTAAGTGAAAATCTAAAGAATAGGATCTCTAATTCTATGAGTTCCACCATGTTTAGTGAGGTAGAAATAAAGCAGGACAATTTATGAGTTAGATATTTCAAGTTATTTGGAAAATACGAGCAGCGTTATTTATTTGTATGCACGTATAAAGTTGCAATTAATTGTCTTCCTTTTGGTGCATAATTACATATATTTGATTGCATATAAGTTACTAGATTAGCAAATATGCAAACCTCACATATTTTTGGGCCAATTTCACTTTACCGCGTGATTAAGTCCTTCTCCGTATTATCTCCTATTTATTCAAAAAAATAGTTTGCTTAGCAGTCCTATTTTTTCATGACTAAATTGTAGAGTTACATGGACTTTTATAGCTCAATGGATTATGATTTTCATTAATTTAATGAATTTCCCCTCAATTTTTAAAATATATAGCAACCCTAGTCCTTTTTCTTTTTAGTAACTTAGTGGCACACTACTACCCCTCTACCTCTATTCAATAAAACTAATTGTTGATTTTTGGACTAGGTGAAATGCTCTAATCCTTTAAATATTGACCAAAGATTACACATTCATTTATTTAATGCAAATGCCTTTATTTTTGACAAAAAAAGTTTAAAGTTGCCACTATCACTTTTTCAATAAGTTAGTAGCTTGTAAAGTAGTAAAATTTGATCACTAACAAGTGGTAAAAATGCACTAACCCACAAGAGAGTTTACCACCTTTCTAACACAATCAATTTATAAACAAGATAGAGGATGATTTTAGTAAGGGGTTACAATAAAATAAAGAAATTCTGTTGCACATCAGCTCGCCAGGAAGGTTAGGTACTGTGACAATGTTGATGTATGGGAAGAAATAACATATGATTTTTTTATGCCATATCTTCTTTTAAACTTATCTTCTTAATATAAATTCTACCCTTTTTTTTTCATAAAAAAGAAAAAAAAACACAAAGAATATCGCAGATCTCTAATTGCATATGTTAAAAGAATATTTTATTTTGTAAGAAATTTCATGTAGACTAAATTATAGACGCGTTTTATGATTTAAAAGAACATTATGTTCCACTTTGATAATTGTTGATTCTGATTTAATAATTCGTGTAACAACTTAGTCTTAAACCTTTATATATTTCTCATGCTCAAATCTCTAGAATTCTTTACATAGCTTGACATTTGCTTATTTATATTTTCCTGCTCTAAGATCGAACCTTGATTGCAACCTTAAGTTCAAATTTCTACACTTAAAATCCTCCGATTTTTACTAAAGAACGCTTATTATCAGTCCGATATGCATATCATAATTACAATATAAATTGAGTTCCACCATGTTTGTTGATGCAGAAAATAGTCCCAGTTCTCTTTTTGAAAATGGTGTTTTTAGTAGGGGTGGTAATTTTCGACCTAATACGACGATACGATTCGAACTCGATACGAATTTGATTATAATTTTATACGAACTCGAAAATAACCCGACACATGAACACGGAATATAAACGGGTCATATTCGGGTTCAACACCCAAAACCCGAAATTGATACAATCAATTTGTTTATGTAATAATTGACACTTTCTCTATTTTCTCGTTTGTATGGTAACATGAAAATAATATGTTTAACTAGTATTGTACAAATAAAATATTAATTATTTGTAACTATTTATTAAGCACTAACATAATTATTGTATAAAAAAACATTTTTACTCACTATTATTATTATTATGTTTATTAAGTTAATTTTTAGTTTAGAGAAAAAATATGAGCATAAATTTAATTAAGTGAAAATTGAATATTAGCGTTAAATTTTTTATTCAAAATTTATTTGTGTTAACACGAATATGATTACGAACACAATACAAAAATAAATAAGTTAATTCAATATGACACGATTAAATAAGTTGGGTTAGAGTTGACTAATGTTCGACACAAACCCACAACACCCTAACACAAATCCTATATGATACGACTCGATTATCACCTTCAATTTTTGACTAGAGAAAATAACCGCATCAAAAAGAAAAAAAAAAGGGACATAAAGAGAAACAAAAACTTGGTCGGCAGGATTCGAACACAATACAAAAATAAATAAGTTAACTCAATACGACACGATTACTTAAATAAGTTGGGTTAGAGTTGACTAATGTTCGACACAAATCCACAACATCCTAACACGAACCCTATATGATACGACTCGATTATCACCTTCAATTTTTGACTAGAAAAAATAACCGCAACAAAACAGAAAAGAAAAAAAAAAGGGACATAAAGAGAAACAAAAACGTGGTCGGCAGGATTCGAACCTGCGCGGGCAAAGCCCACATGATTTCTAGTCATGCCCGATAACCACTCCGGCACGACCACCCTATGGGGTAACAAATTGACTTTATTTTTGTTATTGCATTATTCCATAACCCCCAAAAATCCTACGCCTCGCACACATCTTTCCACCACCTCATACGTTGTTTCATACAATTCCACAAAATCAAATCTCCAGTATTCTCACTCTACTTGCTCTCTCTCTCTCTCACACACACACAGAAAAAAATTGGTTCTTTTCCAAGTTTCTCACTGAAATTTATCTGCTACATATTGGGATTTTCATTGGCTATGGTAAGGATTCATCACTTTTATGATTCTCATTGACTTTCCAAGGTATAAGTATCTAGATACTTTCTGGGTATTGAGTGTTTGTTGTTATTATGTTCAATTTTAATTCATAGCATTAATTTTTATATAATCTGCTTCGCTTTGATGATTATTTATTTATCCCTGAATACTCAATATTATAGCTCATTATTATTCTGTTTCATTCTTTGCAGATACCAGCCCTTACATTCAGGAGTGGACTGAATAACAAGTAAAATGGCTTTGACATTCTTTAGAGGGATACAAACCCACCCTTTTTTCATATACCCATCTGCATTCGTTGCAAGAAAATATGGTGTTTTGTATTGCACAATGAGTAGCACACAAACCCAAAGTGCAACCAAAGAAAACCAACAACAGCCTCAATCCAGAATTTCAACACAAACCCAATCCAAAACATCACTGGATAAAGTTTTCAAAGATTATGAAGCTATCATTGGTATAGAGACTCATGTTCAACTTTCCACTCTCACCAAGGCCTTTTGTGGCTGCCCTTACAGTTATGGGTCTCAACCAAACACCACTGTTTGTCCCACTTGCATGGGTTTGCCTGGGGCATTGCCAGTTTTGAACTCAAAGGTCATAGAACATGCAGTGAGGGTTGGCCTTGCACTTAATTGCAAGTTGTCTTTCAATTCGAAATTCGATAGGAAACAGTATTTTTACCCTGACCTTCCAAAAGGGTACCAAATATCTCAATTTGATGTCCCAATTGCAAGTGGTGGGTACTTAGATGTAGATCTCCCAGTAGAGTTTGGAGGTGGGCATAGGAGATTTGGCATTACCAGGGTTCACATGGAAGAGGATGCTGGGAAGCTGCTTCATACTGGCAATGGGAGTTACTCACAGGCATTTGCACCTTTCCTTTTATTTTTCTTTTGAACACCTTTCCTTTAATTTGAACTGATTAATATTATTCAGTTTTTCGTATTGTGCTTTGGATGAATTGGTCTCTTAGTTTGCCTGAGTATGTAAATTCTAAGCATAAATTCCTGGTGTCGTGATATGTATTGCTTTAATAATGTTTGACAGTGGCATTTTTTCACGCATCTAGCTTATGTTGTGAGTGTACGAGGTTTGCAATGGTTGACTTAAGTTTTGTTAATTTGTCTTATGTCAGTTGCTTATTTGAACTTCAATATGTTAATATATAATTTTTTTCCCTTTTCTAAAAAACTATTATCTGGTGTTTCTTCGAACTTGTATGTATTGTTGTGGGGTTTTTTATTCTGTTGGTTTTTCTTATTCAGGTTGATTTGAATAGGGCAGGGGTGCCTTTGCTTGAGATTGTTTCCGAACCTGATATGAGAACTGGTATTGAAGCTGCTGAATATGCTGCAGAATTGCAGAGATTAGTTCGCTATTTGGGAGTGAGTAATGGGAATATGCAAGAAGGATCGCTTCGTTGTGATGTCAATGTCTCAGTTCGGCCAATTGGGCAGTTAGAGTTTGGTACAAAGGTAATGAAACTATATCACAAGTCAGGTCTTTTCTGGTCAAATGGAAAAAATGAGTTGAAGTAAACTTTCCTATCGAATACAAGCATGCAATTATTGTTCTTTGAAAATGATGTCCACAAATAGTTGGTTTGCTATTTTATCCTCCACTTCCTTTTAGATTCTTTTATCGATAGCTTCATTAAATGTGGGTTTAGTGTAATGGAAGCTAATTGCGAAATCTAGCTGGCTTGCCACTAGAAATAAATATTTGTAGTTTAAAAAATAAAATGTGGAATGGTATTGTTGATGTGGAACAAAGATTGGATTTGAGTTTAGGAAAAGCAGATGTCAAGACAAAAAAACACAAGTAAGGATAGAAGCAATTAGGCATGTCAAAATTAATACTAATGATATGCTTCAAAGGAAAAGACTTCAAACTTGTCTTTTGCCACAATGGTGTGCTATGTATTGCAGTGATAGCGAAAGTATTAATCATTTGTTCTTGCATTGCCCTATTGCTTTATATTTGTGGAACAAATTATTTTCATTGGCATGTTTGAGTTGGGTTACTCTTTGGTCTTTCTCTACTATGTTTGTGGAGGATTTTAAAGGATTTGGACATCAATTTAAAGGAGCTACACTTTGGAATTATGTGATCCTTGCTATGGTTTGGGTTATGTGGTTGGAGAGCAATGCTCGGATCTTTGAAGATAGACGGGAGGGTTGATAGTCTGTGGAGCCATATTTTCTTCTTGGCTTTGTTTTGGGCCTCAGTCACTAAAGATTTTGAAGGAATTCCACTTTTTTGTATTTTGGCGAGATGGAGGGCTATTTATGATTCCTAGTTCTTGGACATCATGCATGAGTTGTCCTTGGATTTTTGTTTTGGTTCCTTTTTTTTTTTTTGTCATTTGAGGGTTGGACTCATTGTCCAACTTCTCTACCTTTAATGTACCTTTTCGTATTATTTTGAATATAATAGTGGTTTCTCATAAAAAAAAAAAGGGGTTAGAAGCAATTAGGAAATCTGTTGATGATTTCTGAATGATCCCCACTTCGAGATATTTATTAGGAACATGTGACTTAGAGCAGTTACAGGGCATGGCATGTGTAAATAAAAATTAATTTCAACCTTTTCAGAAGCTGAGAAGATTTTGTTGAATTAATTTGTGGAGATAACCCTAAACAGAAGTTCAAAACTGGAAGTAATAGGAACCCTTAACGCCTTGGCTCCTGTTTTATAAAGTCATCTAGGTAAACTATATGTTGCTGGAGATGTATACAAGACCTATCAATGTCCAATATTTGTGCTGCTCCTCCCATTATCAAATACTGCAGCAATTACTACCGATCAAAATGACAGAATAATAGATGACTGGTTGAGGGTTTTATTGACAGATCTGCATTATCTTGTGGATGACATGAATCTGCAATCATATTAAGTAAAATCGTTAAAAAGTCACAATTTAGTATCTTAGTCAACTATTGGTTCTACTGCTGTATTTGCTGTCCATTCTTTGGCATTTATAATAGACCGTATTTTTTGATTTAGCCGGTTTATTTTTTTGTTAAAAAAAATTGTTTCACATATCTTTTACTGATTTACAAATATGACACTATCTTCGTCTAATAGTTTTTGTGTTCAAATGCGTTGCTAAATGGAATGTTACTTTTAACCATAAATTGCCCAGCGATGGATGTTCCCTTCTTCTTCCTGTGCTGCTAATGGTGTGACTATGGATGGTTCCTGGCAGCTGATATGTTGTACTTCATTTCGTATCAACAGGTTGAGATAAAGAATTTGAACTCATTCTCATCCGTAAATAGGGCCATTGACTTTGAAATTTCAAGACAGGTGCTTCTCCATAATCAAGGCCAGAGTAATCAAATTGTACAGGAGACTCGACTCTGGGAAGAGGGTGCTCAGGTTGTACTGCATTTTGTTTTCATGCCTCTACAACATATGGAATTAGTTCACTCCATAGGTCACTTATATGCTTAACCTTTGTCCTACTGTTAGAAAACTGTTCCAATGAGGAAAAAGGAAGGGCTCTCTGATTATCGTTATTTCCCAGAGCCAGACCTCCCAGAAGTTACTCTTAGTAACAAATATGTTGATGGAATTCGTCGTTCTTTACCTGAACTTCCAGAAATGAAGCGTCGAAGATATGAGACAATGGGTCTAAGCATTCAGGATGTTCTTTTTCTTGCTAATGACATGAATGTAAGTTCTCACAGACTGTTATTTGTTGGTTCTGACTAATGGTAAACAATGGACTAGTGTTCTATTCGCTTAAAGATATACTTTGAGAAGACATCAGAAATAATGTGTACATGGTTATTCTTTTATTGATAACTCTGGCCATAATAGATGTAGTAAGTATATAACTCTGAATGTAATGAATTTAGTTAGCTAAACGCCAATTGAAGTAGGTGGAAAATTTTTAGAATTTGTTTTGTATGTGTTTCAGGTGTGACCCTACGTATTTGTTTCCATGAGACAACCAGTGCAATTTTTATGCACGCCTCACGGACTGATACACTTGTAAATAACTCACTGACTATTTAGCCTTTGACGCTGCTACTTGAAAGCATTTTCCTCTCAGATTTTGCCTCAATGCAAGCGCTACTAGAATTTTCTGAGATGATTTTTCCGCGTGAATAATGCCTCAGGTTGCAGATTTTTTTGATGCAACTATTGGAAATGGTGCTGATGTCAAACTGGCTGCCAATTGGATAATGGGTGATGTTGCTGCCTATATGAAAAATGAGAAGCTTTTAATCACTGAGATTAAACTTAGCCCTGAAGAGCTAGGTGAGCTTATAGCTTCCATTAAAGGTGGGACAATCAGTGGAAAGATTGGAAAAGAGGTACATATCTATTTCTTGGCTTGGTGGTTTTGCATACATTTAGTATGTCAATAAATATATTATGTTTGATTCAATCTCTAAGGATTTGATTATTTCTTTATTTTTCCTTCACAAAATTTGCAGATACTATTTGAGCTAATGGCCAAAGGTGGAACTGTTGAGGGTCTGATAAAAGAAAAGGATTTGGTTCAGGCAAGTTGTATCACTTTATTGCTGGGCTTTTGTAAGAATATGTTAATAAATGCCCTTGATGTTATGTACAGATGTCTGGTCCCACTTCCACAACCTCTATACTTCCAACTATAAACTGCAATGCTAAATCATCCGTTTTATGTTCCTAAGGAGTGTCAGCATACACTTTTTAAACTGATTATCTTCGGGTTGTTATGCTATCCAGAGTCTACAGAAAGTACTTCATCAGAAACTGACCCACACATGAAAAAACCAAAGCGAGAAACTAAAAATCACCCTTTCCCCAATAAAGTAAGAATTGGATATGAACGTTGTACTGGACATATGTCCAGAAAGATAATGGACACACCAAAAAGATGTGTCAAGGGTCAACCTTCTAATTTAGAGAAATGGGGGACAAAGGAAAGAAGAGTGCATATCATGAAGAATACTGAGGAATAACAGTACCAGATTCTGTTAGCTAATAATAATAATAGCTCAAACAAACAGAAAGATGGAAAACTCTTTCTCTTCATTTGCATGAAGATCGACTTGGATCCATTATGACCAAAAGATGGGGGTTTTGCCTTCCACACGAAAAAAAAAAAAAAAAAAACTAAGCAAGAGACTAGAAAAACCCACTTTCCCTGATAGAGGAAGAATTGGATATGAGCATTTTACTGGACATACAAAAAAGTTGGGTCGACCTTCTAATTTAGAGAAATGGGGAACAAAGGAATATGGTACAAGAGTATGAAGTCCTTGGATCCTTTGCAAGTAATATGGTACAGTATTCTGTACTCCTCAGAACCTTATATAGCCGATAAATTCGTCTAAGCTGACCAATGGATGGGAGATAAGAGATGTCCACTGATGAGATGCTAGTATAGTTTAGAATATTCTACACATGCTATTCATTATGGTATTTTGCCAACATTTGATGATTGGGGCTCTGTTTGGCATTTGGAAGATTATGTTCTGGACTATTAATGGGATTGGAAAATCACTATTGTTGTTCTCCTTGCAGAACAAATAATTTTTTTTTGGGTAAGTATTCTTGAAGCACAGTAGTTAAAGTCTTCGTTGAAAACAATTTTCGACTTTGTGAAATTGATGGGAAGTGCCTTCAGGTACCATTTCTACAATGATACCATTGGAAAATAAACAACATTTATGTTGCTGCATCATCTAAATCCCTTGATTATTTCTTATTAATATCAGTTTTTCAACAATTATATATGGAAGTCAACTCCAATGGATGCTCTTTGAGATCGTGAGATAACCATATATTGACCCATACTATTACACAATATGAAGTGGCATCTTGGGCACCGCCTGATAGATTTGAAGATGGTGTTCGGGTGGGTTGTCAATTGGATTTCAATGTGGAGGACAGAGTTGACGGGAATAATGCAAAGAGAATGAAGTGGTGGTCGTTACAGTGCGGACAAAAGGCATTACCCAGTTTGATCCCTGATAATCCAAGTTGCTGGAAAGATGTACTGTAATGACTGTACATTTATAACTCTGTTTTTTTTTTCCCTGAACTGAACATTTATAACTTAAAAATTGCAGAATTGGCCAGTACTGTTTACAGGCCTAAGTTTTTCATTATACCTTATTGGATCTATAGGCTATGGGGACCCTTTTTATGTAACATAAAAATTTTAAGGTTGCACTATTACAACTGCCATGCGGTTTATGGTTTACAAACCTCATGAATCTAGCAAGATGTTCCTCAAGTTAGGCTTGAATAATGATGCCTGAAACCCAATCTTGAACTAGGATTCTGATGACTTACAGTCTAAGTTGTGGACAAACCACCTAGTTCAATTAACAGATTTAATAATGGGATTTAGTACATTACTTGATGTGGTGTAATGCAGCCAATTCATATGACTGAAACCTTTTTGCTATGATTGATGACTTCAACATAATTGCAGACAGTTCTTACCTTTTCTACTCTTTCCTTTAAACAGATAGTAGACCCTCTTGAGATTGAGAAAATGGTGGATAAAGTGCTTGCGGAGAATCCAAAGCAGCTAGAACAATACCGTGGAGGCAAAACAAAGCTCCAAGGTTTCTTTGCTGGCCAGGTGTGCTTTGATAGGTTTTCCCTGGTTATGCTTTGGGGAGTTTGTGTTCCTGATTTTGCTCTTCAAATGCTTATTTACTCTACTGTGACAATCTGGATGTTGTAATCAAATTGCCAGGTAATGAAAGAATCAAAAGGCAAGGCAAATCCTGTGCTTTTGAACAAGATCCTTTCAGAGAAATTAAATGTCAAAAGCTGATACTGTCATAGGTAAGTAAATTCTTTCAAATTATCTTTCCCTTAGTCATTTAGTTGTTTCATCTTGTATCCTGACCTTTCCTTTTGTCCACCCAAATAATGCATGTTTTTCTCAATCAGTGGCAGACTGGTACTGTGCCAGTAATTTGATTTGCCTACAGTTCTTCTCCGATGAATTGGTTCTCCTGGGCTGTGCATATTATCTACCAACGGTAAATTTGCACCCTTTGGTGGACTTGGTCTGAACAGCAATCTGCGGGGTTTTCTGAACGCGCGAGAAGAAAACCAGCTGGAGAGATGGATGTGTTGACCTATTTTAACTTAGATACACGAGCTGGTCATATTGGCTATGGGGTTGATTAAAGTTGACTCATCGGATACAATATTTGTAAATTTCATACAGAAAATAAGCTAATTGTAATAACAGTTGGTGGTGTATCTTCCAGATGAGAATACTTTTATCCAATTTACAGTAATTATTAGTGCTTCTATCATTCTTATTTTTTTTTTCCAATGTACATTCTTGATTAGCACACTTGCCAAAAAACAGGTTGGTTTATAGTTGAGGTGTAGGCGTAGGTGTACGAAGGCAGTGTATGAAAAGGAGAATGATTTTTTCTGGTAGCAGTGAAAAAAGATGGAAGAAAGAAGAAGATTAGCTTACATTGGTATTTATATTTTATACAAGAACCTCTTTGTCTATAACAGTGACTTGGTGCGCAAGCAAGGTTCAAAATTTCGTACGAGTTTAAGTTTACTCCGTCCCAAATTTATGACTCATATACTGAATCGGTACAACTCAAGGTTAACTCTCAATTGAATTAGAACGATTCGTAATGAAATCGAGAAGATTCGCAAAAAACGATAAAATCAGCCAAAATCATAACATCGTACTGTGAAAAACTATCACAAATCTTTATTACACAATTTTCAATCTCACATTTATAAACCAAAATCTCAGACCCATGTTGAGATTAATAAATTTCATATAATTTTGGATTAGATACAAACCGAAAACAAAACACATCCTTAAAAAAAAAAGAATGCTCTAAATCGAAATCAAAACTTACAAAAACTTTTTTTTTGATACAATCAAATCTCAGATTGTGCGCTTGTGACACACCTCCCGTTAAGTTGAAAGGAAAGAACATTGCATTTTAGTCCACAAATCGCCTGAGAATTTTATAAAAGTTTTTAAAATGCAGTGAGGTCAAATGCACATGGAGTATATAAGTGAAGTTCCCCTTTTTTTTTTAAGCAACTTCTGTCAGAAATAAAACGATGTTTTAAGAGTTTCTTTCTTAGATTTAATTTGTTTGATGGTTGAAGATGGTTAATTACCATCATTGATTGTACCCAAAAAAAAATTACTCTCCCATATGACACTATTTATGGGCGTTTAATGGCATATAGTTTGCTTTTGTTCTTTTAATTTTTCTTTCTCTTTATTAAATTATTTTTTCTTTTTTCTTGGATTTAAAATATAAAGACAACAAAATTAGGGCCTCAATTGAGGCAAGCTTGGCCAAGCATCTATGTTGATTTTTCAGATGATCAACTTTGGCAACATGAATGGACTAGACATGGTGTTCACCGACAAAAATGGTCAAATTGACTTATTTCCAAATTGTAATTAGACAAACATGACAAGTTAATTTGTTGAGGATCCTACAAAATGTCGGCATTGCTCCAGGCTCTCATACTGCTTACACTAAGACTCAGTTCGAGATTGCACTGGGAAACATAATTGTAAGTGATATATATGTGTCATTTGTTGGACTTAACATTACCCATGTTTTATTAAAAGAGCTACTAATTTGTTTGGATGACACAACAACAATCTATATAAATTGTCCAGCAAGTAGAAGCCTAAGGGGGTTGTGGTCGTGCATGAAGGCCAAATATTATATTCCTTAGTTGATATCTATTTATTAGTTGATATCTATCTATTTTGTTTCCTAAGAATTGTATTAAAAATATTATTTTCATTGTGAGGTCTAGAGTAGTATTAAACTAAAATTGTGTCAATAGTGACATGTTGAGTATGCAAAAATATATGAACAATTTGAAAGGTCCCAAAACACAAATTGATAATGAATTTTGTTTTGATTTGTGGCCTCATCTATTTTTACTCCAGCAAGTTGTTTTCAAGCTTAACTGTTTTCGGGCTTGGAAATAATATGTATGTAAACCACCGGGGATAATGTAAGAATTTTTATTCTCATAGTTACCACTCACTAAGACTTGCATTGTGATACATGCCCAGCATTTGCAAACGCTTACATATTGTCATTCTAATGGCAGTTCAAATTAAATCGGAGGTACCTTACCTTTTATTAATGACACTATCTAGTTCATGTCATGTTTGCATCTTCCATTATTAATCTAAGAGGCATTAATATATATTTTTCTACGTACAAAATGTTACGTATATATAGAATAATAAGTTGAACAATGTGGCGATAACTTGTGACAGTGGGATAAGAGATGCCTCAAGCGACTCTATCTAGTTGCGTTGCCATTGTTTATGTTCAAATAGACGGGATGAGACTCTAACTAATCTTGTCTCTATTGGATAAAATTCCCATTTGTAGATAAACAAATCTCAACATGGGATGAGATAGAAGTCCAAGTCTACAAGAAGCACATGTATTTAATTTATTGAACACAGAGTTGGAACAAAACCTAGAACACATGGTTATGCCCTTTCATTTTCTTTCCTCTTCTGGGAGAGTAATTTCCTTTTTGGTACAATCAATGATGGTAATTAACCATCATCAACCTTCAAACAAATTAAATCTAAAAAAGAAACTTTTAAAGCATCTATTTATTTCTGACATATGTTGCTTAAAAAAAAGGGCAACTTCACTTGTATACTCCAAGTGCATTTGACCTCACTACATTTTAAAAACTTTTACATAATTCTCACGTGATTTGTGGAATAAAATGCAATGCCACACTTTCCATCCAACTTAATGGGAAATGTGTCACATGTGCACAATCTGAGATTTTATTGTGTCAAAAAATTTTTTTTGTAAATTTTGGTTTCGATTTAGAGCATTCTTTTTTTTTTTTTTGGGATGAGTTTTGTTTTCGGTTTGTATCTAATCCAAAATCATATGAACTTTATTAATCTCAACATGGGTCTGAAATTTTGGTTTGTGGAATTGAGATTTGAAAATTATAGAGTATGGATTTGTGGTAGCTTTTCAAAGTACGATTTTATGATGTTGGTTGGTTTTTGTCATTTTTTGCAAATCTTCTCAATTTCACTACGAATCATTTTGACTTGATGGAGAGTTAACCCTGAGTCGTACCGATTCAGGGCCAATTCGGTATGAGTCATAGATTAGGGCAGAGTCAACTCGAAGTTATACGAAATTTTGAACCCTACTTGCGCACCAAGTTACTGTGATAGACAAAGAGGCTCTTGAACAAAATATAAATACCAATGGAAGCTAATCTTCTTCTTCAATCCATCTTTTTTCCTTGCTACCAGAAAAAAATGAAATTTTTTGTTTACATTTTACCTTTTATCGTTCTCCTTTTCATACACTGCCTTTGTACACCTACGACTACGTCTACACAACCACCTAAAGTATATTATATTTTTTTGTTTGTGGAAACCTAGACCCCTCCTTTTTGCATGAACTCATCGATAACTTGTATACTGTCATTCTCTCATAACTTTATTTTACATGGTCTCTGGCCAACGAACTCAAATAGAAACAGTATCAACAAATGTAGCACCAGTTTTACGGATCGGAACATCAATAAAGAGGTAAATTTTTGTAATCCAAAACTTGTACACTTGTGTGTTATATTGTAAATAGTTTTATCATAACTATTAAACAAAAATGAGAAAAAGTGGTGGTACAGTGGTGGTGGCACAACTGTTTTTGCGTGATTTTTGGGCTATGTTACGCTTGCCTCTTATTTGTCTGCAGTTAGAAATTGTGCTGTTTAATGGGAAGGCGTAAAAAAAAAAAAAGAGACGACATAGTTTTTGATGATCTTTTTCATCACATTCAAAACCTTAACGAGTATATTCATTCACTGTCTGCCAAATTCTCCACTCCTCACTTAAAACCTTTTGCGTCATTTCTCTCTCAATTTTTTTTATTCACTTCTCTCTTTGGTATGCATTATGAAGACCCATTATTATACAAATTAAAGACCCCAACTTCACTAAAATTTCTCTCAGCGAATTCAGACAAATAAGAAGCAACAAAAGTGACGTATATTACAATAGCAAAAGAAAAAAAGATGTATATTAGTTGAGTTTATGCTCTATTTTCGTTATTTGGTTTCAGAAATAAATTTGTTTTGAACAATGTGGTTGAATTTTTTCTTTATTTTGTTATTAGTTAAATTGTAAAAAAAAAAATAGTTAAAATGAATGCCCAAATTTTTTTCTTACCTTTCCATATGTTAGTACTTTTCCTTTTTGCCCAAAACCCTTGTTATGTTTTCATTCTTCCTGGGTATATGGGTTTTTGTAGAAAATAGAACGAAAGAAAACTTGATATATGGGCCCCCATTTTTTTTTTTTTGGCCAAAACAACGATGTCCCATTAAACAGCACACCGTGCTATTAGTTTCCAACTGCAGAGGAGTTGGACCCGTGGTTAGTTTCTAAAAATTCAATAGATTCAACTGATACAGAATAAGATGCTTTAAAGACAAATTCTGTTAGTTTACTTTATCTCTTAATTTTACCTTGATTGCAGTGTTGTCTCTACTTGACACTATTCATGGTGCTTAATCACATATAGTTTGCTTTTGTTCTTTTAATTTTTCTTTCTCTTTGTTAAATTGTTTTTTCTTTTTTCTTGGATTTAAAATATATAGACAACAAAATTATGGCGTCAATTGAAGCAAGCTTGGCCAAGCATCCGCGTTGGTTTTTTAGATGATCAACTTTGGCAACATGAATAGAATAGGCATGACATATGTTCACTGACAAAAATGGTCAAATTGACTTATTTCCAAGATGTTCTAAGACAAACATGACAAGTTAATTTGTTGAGGATCCTACAAAATGTCGGCATTGCTCCAGGCTCTCATACTGCTTACACTAAGACTCAGTTAGAGATTGCACTGAGAAACACAATTGGAAGTGATATATATGTGTCATGTGTTGAACTTAACACCACCCATGTTTTATTAAAAGAGTTACTAATTTGTTTGGATGACACAACAACAATCTATATATATTGTCCAGCAAGTACAAACCTAAGGGGTTGTGGCCATGCACAAAGGCCAAATATTATATTCCTTAGTTGATGTCTATCTATTTTGTTTCCTACGAATTGTATTGAAAATGTTATTTTCATTGTGAGGTCTAGAGTATTATTAAACTAAAATTGTGTCAATGGTGACATGTTGAGTAAGCAAAAATATATGAACAATTTGAAAAGCCCCAAAACACTAATTGATAATGAATTTTGTTTTGATTTGTGCCTCATCTATTTTTACTCCAGCAAGTTGTTTTTAAGCTTAAATGTTTTCAGGCTTGGAAATAATATGTATGTAAACCACTTGGGATAATGTAACAATTTTTATTCTCATAATTACCACTCACTAAGACTTGCATTGTGATACATGCCCAGCATTTCCAAACGCTAACATATTGTCATTCTAA